GTTATCTAAAGAACAGGATGGGAATGAAATACCAGTTGTTTTAAAAAATGTTTTTCTCTTGTTTGGTATTACATTTTCTTCACAAGGTTTATATTGCCTTTAAAATAGTCCACATTTCTTTGATATTTGCTTTACATTTACTGGATATTTGTTTTTATAATTAAAAAAGTTACATGTTATGTACGTAACACTCTGGTACCAACGCTGCCTTTTGTAGGAGTGGCGACCGCTGGCTCTCCTCCAGCCGCATAGAGCCGACTCCGGGGACGGCCAGGGGCTGGGCCCTGGGGCGCTCTGTCCACGGGGCCTCGACACAGCCCTGTTGTGCCACCCTGGCACCCACGCATTACACGCCGCCCCCTGGCTGGACCGTGAGCTCCCTGAGACCGAGAACTCTTTCGAATCTTTTTATTTTTACTTTTTTGGGGGGAGAGAGGGGGAGGTCAACGTCATCTAGATTTTGTTTGCAAACACACACAGAAATTACTTCTAGTGTGCACAGTTCCAAAACTTGAGTTGGACATAAAATATTTAACAATAAATACATATTATAATATACAACAATAAAATAATCAAATCTAATATTTATTGGGCATTTACTTTGTGCAAGACCTGTGCTAAGCACTATCAATGTAACATTATTTAGTATGATAATTTATTTAATTAATTACTTATAAGGTAGAAAATAAGGATTAATATGTAACGCCATTTTCAGTAAGCTAAGTTATAACCTGATATTATCACCATGTAACTAGGAACCAGCACCAGGAGTTGCTCTATTTAACAGATACTAACACAGGGTCGGGTAAAGGTGCTATGAAGTGTCAATAATGATTGTTTAGTTGGGTGGGAAAAGAAAAGGCTATCTGTTGAATAAAAACTAGATGGAAAAAAAATGCTGAATTTGCTCAGTGACTTGAGTTTTATAGCTAACATTTTAAAGCCATGGTGGGGAAAAAAAGTTCTTAACAGGCAAATAAACAGCACAATTCTTTATCTCCAAATTGTTTAATTACCACCGGGGAAATGAGATACTTATTAGGGGTGTAATTATCCCATCACAGTAGACCTAACTTTGTGTTTTTAAAAAGCTCTATTTGAAATCGCACCTTCTTCTGGCTCTGCTCCGATCAGCCCCAAGTTCTGTGCTGGGCGGGTGCCGCCCGCCTCCTCCTTCGTGGCTGCAGACTCAGAATCAGCCGAGGACCTGTCACGCAGGCGCTCGAGGAATGAATGGGGTATCGATCAGGCAGAAAAAAGTCCCATTAAATCTAAAGTGTTTTAATGGTTTATTGCCAAAACTATAAACTGAGGGCCTGAAGTGTGAGTTAATATTTAAGCCTTGCTCAAATAATGCCGTGAGCTCTCGTGGCAGGCAGGACGCATCTGTGTGACTGGTATTCGCCACACACAGCCTCAAATGCACGAAGCCTTGCTTTCTTCTCACAGGGATTCTGTGTGGCCCATTTCACGTGTAAAATGTACCCTTACAGTTGCAATTTAAAAAGCTTCCAATCCTGTAACCAAGATATACCCCAATAAATCCCTCTGTCAGAAAAAAAATTAACTAAACCCTCCTCACACAGTGGGAAGACCAGGGCGCACTGTCTTGCGGAGACCGAAGCTGTCAGGATTATCTGAGATGGCCAAATTTCTCAGGAGGGACAAAGTTCCCTTGGGTCATCTCTGTGCCTTCAAGAGGATGAAATCCCCGGCCGGGTGCTGTACACCAAGCGGTTGCAAATTCAACCCCCAGTCGGGGCACGTATGGGAGGCGACTGATCGATGTTTCTCTCTCACATCGATGTGTCTCTCTCTCTCTCTCAAATCAATAAATATATCGTTGGGTGAGGATTAAAAAAAAGGGGGGAGTATCTCTTACAGCCAAAGCATTATCACTTTCTAGGTGTGAAGCTAATGACGTCACTGAAAATTAAAATACAATATTCTAGGAAGTTCAGTCTAGCAGGTAATAACTGAAAAAAAAAATTATGTAATGAAAACTACTCTGAAAAACTAACTCTGGAAAGTCCTTCGCAGCATGTAAAAGGGTTTTTGTTTGTATTAGAGTTAGCCAAACTAGAGTCAGGGCAGGGTCCCCAAGACCGTCCTTACTTTTGGCGTCTCCTGAAAGTTCAAGGGGTTCCCCAAACCACCCTGAAGTTTGATGATTTGCCAAAAGGATTCACAGACCTCACAGAAAGCTATTACACTTCCTATTGTGACTTATTATAGGAAATGACACAGAGAATCAACCCAGGGAAGCGATACATAGGACAGAGTCTGGGAGGGCCCCAAACGCAGAGGTTCCGTCACCCTCGGGATGTGCTACGCTCCCGGCAGCAATGTGTGACAGCAGGCAGAGTACCGTCCGCCAGAGGAGCTCACCGGCCTTCAACGTCCAGGGTCTCGCGCAAGCCCTTTACAGGGGCCTGCTCAACTGACTGCCCACGTGGTCAAAATCGGTCTCCAGCACAAATTCCCCAGAGGTTGGGCTCATACAGGATGGCTCTGGGGGCCCATCGCCACTGATAAGACACTTTTATCACTTGGGAAATTCCAAGGTTTTACAGGTTACCTCCCAGGAGGTGGGTACAAAGACCTTTCTGTGGGAAAGGCTAAAATTCTTTACCACAGTGGATGAGAGTGGGATATAATAAAGAACAATACCTTATCAAGGTCAGAGAGATAATGCTGCTGAAGCTCTGAGAAAAGGAAGTCGAAGCTACAGGTCCACGCTGTCTTGGAGAAGGTAAGTCATCGTGACATTTATTTCTGTGAGCCCCTGGTTCTCGGTAGGCCGGCCCAGGCCAAATGGCATGGTAGCTGGGCAGGGCCTCGGAAGTGAGAGTCTTCTCACCTAAAACCAGGCTCACCTCTCTCTATAAAATCCAGCTTCCACAAATCTGTGAAACTCTCCTTTGCCCTTTCTTTCCAAGTGTTATGGGCTGAATTGTGTCCACCCCCGCCCCCACTTCACACATTGAAGTCCCAATGCATGGTACTCCAGAAAGTATATTTGGATGAAGGTCATTACGTTAAAAGGAAGTCAACAGAATGGGCTCTCATCAGATGTGCTTGTGCTTCATAAGAGAGGGAGGCCAGGAGACATGCAGAGAGGGAGGACCAAGGGAGCACAGGGAGCAACCTACCATCTATACACGAGAAGCCTCAGAAGAAACCAACCCTGCCGACACCGTAGTCTTGAAATACCACCCTCCAGAATGGTGAGAAATTAAACTTCATTGTTGAAGCTACTCAGCCTGTGGTACTGTGTTATGGCGGCATGAGTACACTTACCCATCAATCCCTAATTCGTGTCTAATCTTTCAATGACTTTTTTGCATCTCTTTTCTTCCCTCCTTCGCTTACAGGGACCTCTCATCTAGTACTTCTAGGTCTTGTTTCTCGTGCCTCTGATCGAACCTCACATTCACTGTCAGACCAATGTCTGTACAGGAGCACAGGGATTAGGGCACTCACCTGGTCTAATACTTTCCAAAGACTTCCTGCCAGCAAAGACCAACTTCTTAGCCCAACAGATAATGAGTGACCGTGCTGACCTTTCCAACTCTCTTGCCATGGTCCCTCTGAGTCAAACCATGTATCTTCACTAATCTGTCACCAGCCAACTTAGAGCACGATTTTTTTTCCTGAATATTCTTCTTTTCCACCAAAACTCTTCTTCAAGCCTCATCTAAAATACCATCGTTATGACGACTTCATAGACCATTCTAGTCAGACATGATTTCCTTTGGTTTATTTCAAATTTTAGTTACTTTTATAGCTCTCATCATATATTGAAGCAACACCCAGGGTGCCAAGTCAAAGGTTCTCACTGTATTGCAACAAAAAGCTTAAAAAAAATGTTGCTTTATCATTAGGGGAAAGATAAAAATCATAAAAATACATGTGTAGTGTACCTTCTAAAATCAAGTCCACGTCCAATTCTACATCTGAGTTCTTAAGATGGCACATTAACACTTTACAAGTGAGATGTATGCCCCATTCTTAGAAGGTCAAGCCCTCCTGCCCCTAAAGAATGATCCACCAACGAAGAATGGAGGTGTTTGTCCGTTTAAATATACTTCCAACCATCTTTAAACAAACATTTTTAACCAATGTTAAAATAGCACCGATTTCTATTACCACACAAATTGCACTGTAGCAGAAAGTAGTAACGTTCCACTGTAGGGGTTAATCATTTTATCAAATGCTTGTAAACACGCACCAGGAAGGTGGTGGGAGCCCAGGTCCCCCAGTCATCTTTCAACTGAACCTGTCACTCTACCCTTTTTTTTTGCTTTGCTTTGCTAATTGGCACGTGTGCTACCAACACAAGTTATACAATGGAACTATTTATACACTCAGGAAAATTCTGAATGATGTCTTCTTCCCTAATGTGAGATCTGGCAGCAGAGTTTGGAAAGCGCAGGGCCACGGGTCACAGACACTTTGATCTCCCAATTACAGAACATTCATTTAAACATCCCAAGGAGTAACAGAGGTAGTGATTTAGCATCACCTTCATAATCAAGGGTAAGGTAAAGTCTGTGATTTAAATGCTTTCAAGGTACATGCGAAGAAATGAAAACAGCTTAAAAATGAGAAAAGAGGGTACACCAATTTGGACATGCCTATCATTTTATTATACAAAAGTGAAAGGTTTCTATGGCTCTAATAGAGTTTCCAATTTAATATCACCTTCATAAACAACAGTATCCCTATCTTATATATATTATTCCAAATGAAAATTCTATTATTCCTGCTTTCTATTTTCCCTTTGTTCGTGAAACTGAGTTGTAACAAGTGTTCACCAAATGTTTTTTCCTTGCATATGAATTCCACTATAACAGATAACATGAATCCTTCTCAACCACAAAAACATATTTTCAAGTATTCCAGAGAGCTATATACCAAACTATCTCTTGTTCAAAAAGCAATAAAGCTGTATTTTCATCTTGTCAAGAAGGGTAATTATAATACTATTAAAAACTTACTTGAACTTTGCTTCCACCTCTTCAGCAGCTTTCTGATATTGTTCAGTGGTGACTTTGTAGAACTCTGAGCTCTGTGGATAAAGATTGATAGCAGAGTTTTCACTTTCCAAGAGGACAAAATGTGTGCAAAATGTATAATGACAAGAAATACATAAGCTCTTACTTCAGCAACTCAAGCAACAGGACAAAGATTTCTTGCACAAGTGGAATGGATTCTTATAAAAATACATGTAAACGTATCTAGCTGTTGATATATAGGTTGAAATTAGAGTAAACTTTAATAGTTATATTCATCATTCTTTCAGACTTCTGATAAATTCCTCACGTATTGTTTAGGAATTAGTTAGATCTCCCTCATTTGAAATCAATCCCTGTAAGATCAAAAGATGCTTGAGATTGAATAATGAAATTCACCCACATCACATCTGCCTATTATTCCAGTGCTCCCCCTGGGATATGAAAGGATCATTTCTTTGCACACTATATTTTGTCTTCTCGATGGACTCGTTACGGAGTAGAATGTGTTCCATCACCTCCACGTGACCACAACAGCATCAACATATAAAACAAATTAATTGGTAAGAACAAAGGGGTGGAGCTACATAATTTTTATTCCAAAAAAGTTTCACTGTTACATGAACGAACACATAAGCAACATAAATTAAGTTGTAATAGCAAAGTAATGCCTTTCTTGGGGCGGCAGCATAAAAAATTACCCATTTTGGCCGGCTACTTTGAAACCTGTCTACAGGGGCGGTCCCGGTGACCCCATGAGCCTTCAGACTCAATGAAATATCTTGCAAAATGCACCACAGCATAAAAGAGCACAACACGGTGGTCTAGTGTACACCTTTATTCTCTAATCACTCAGGTTTCACATGTACGACTTGGGGTAGCTTATTTTTTCATAAATCATTGTTGGTTGGTGAGAAAATGAAAATGAAATCCTCTTCACACCAGTGACCCCTTCGCATTTAACAATCTGGGTTGTCCAATGACAGTCACATCCAGGTTTGTTGGATGGAGATAAAATCAATAGGTATGTGATTAGACAGCCGGCTCAGGGTGGCTGGAGAATGGACAGGGCACCATTTGAGATGATGAATGGCTCTCTATCAACCCACAGTCCTCTCCGATGCTAACATTTACTATAATCTTATTTGGGCTGCGATTTATCTTTCTTGCACCTGATCAATAAAGATGAACAGAACAGTTGTAAGGATCGATTGTAATTTTTTATCATTTTCAAGCACAAAGGTGCATTTCTGACATGAAGACAATATTCTAAGTGTACTGCTTCTGCATTTTTTAAAATTGCAATTTGAATGATCAACCGCACTAGTCTATATATTGAGAGGTTTTAATTCATCTCTAGGTCTCAGGCTATCAAAAAACCATTTGTCTTCTCAGATATTTTAACTTTAGGCTGTGTCACATCTTCCTATCCGTTCTACTTGTAAAAGTTTTCTTTCCTTTGAAATACCAGTCATGAACGCTCTGTTGCCATGTTTGGTTTAAAGCTTTTCTTTGAACCATTCTAACAAAGAGGGCAGTGAAAAGGCGCTTCCTAATCACCACTAACACCGATGAGAAAGGCCCCATATTACTATGATGAACTGTCAAGTGAGTATTATGTTACTGAATTATCTATTAAAATGCTGGCAAAGCAATAACCTCTTGATTAATTCTTTCAATTATTTTAAGCATTGAAACGGTAATGTCTGGACAAAGCCAGCACTAGGCTGGAAGGTGGTTTCTCGTTCTGTTCTGTGACCTTTAGCAGGTCCTCCAACCTCCCCCACTTCCTCTCCAGTGTTCCTCGCCTGTAAAATATGGATGATGCCAGACCTGCTTATCTTGCAGCTGTTGTAGAAATCAATTGGAAAGGCCAGAAACCTGTGAAATCTATGAAGTGTTTCTGCAGAGTAAGATCAGCATCAAAATAAAATAATTTTAAAGAAAAAGAAGTAATTTGGACAATTCCGTTCTGGATACAAATTCGAAAGGATCAAAACAAATATTAGGCTTTCTAACAAGAATGATGAACCAAGTCAGGAGTTCTCCCATAATATAAATTGATGAGCTCCCCTCTGCTTTGTAGTGCCAAATGCAAGTAAAATTATTACTGATTCTGCCAAACTTCCCCCTGGGATGTTAAAAGCAAAAATACTTGCTCCTGTGTTGCCTGCGAACTTAGCATATAATTTCTCAATTTAAAGTTGTTGTCTTTATTTATGTTCCATATTTCCTCCTCCGCGGCCAGTCCCCCACCATGCACAACTCTTTCTAGCAAAGAGAAGTCCCCAGGAGGCAACACGGTGCAACTAACAGAGTAAACACAAATATGCTAATGGTCTGTCTACAGACCAAGTGTCATTCATTTAAGTCTTTACCCATTTATTCAACATGAACAAATCCTTATTATCCCAATAATGTTTCTTTTAAGAAATGAGATCCTCATGGAGCTTTCCATCTGATATAAAAGAAAAGAAGAATACTTATAACGAAAGGGTTAACTTAACAGCTGTGTTACTGGAGTTCAGGAGTAGAAATCTCTTTTGGTCTCAGAAAATACTTTTAAACATGAACAACGATTAAACACACATGTATTCTCTGCCCCTCTCTGTTTACAAGGAAGAGAATGGAAATACTGGGTATTCATATAGAGAAATTGTATACTGGGGTGAGAAAAATAAATTAGACAAAAAGAGTTGTAGATATGATACGAAAGGGTGCAATTCAGGTCCAATTTGGAAAAGTACATAATAATGAAACAGAATTAGTGAAGAGAAATTCAAGCGATTATCTCCAAGTGGTGGCCGTCTGGTGGAAGAGGTAGAAGGGGACGAGGGGGACGTATGTCCTAAAAGAAGGGAATGCAGTGGGGCTTCACTGCCTTGTTCTATATGTTGAAATGACTTGTCCTTAGAATGAGATGTACACAAGTAGCTGTTATATTCATTATGAATATTTTGTAATACATACAAAAATTGTATTCCGTCCTCCTTTCTTCCCCAAAGAATCCAATGAACAGTAAGTAAGTGACTTAGTATGGAGAGAACATAAAATTATGTGTGTGGGGGGTACACACTGAAGACGTTGGCTAAGTCGAGATCTTATATACATTTTTAAACGCTAAGCTCTTGCAGCATGTCCACACAGTACTAAATCACAGTACTTTTTCTTCAGTTTTGTTTTGTGAAATAATTTTAGACGTTTGGAACAATTTTCGATTTACAGAAAAGGGTCAAATATAGTAGGTTCCTGTATATCCTTCAACTTCTTTCCCCTCATGTCAACATCTTAGATGACCATACAATTGTCAAAATGAGTAAGTTAATGATGTTACAACACTGGTAACTAGCAGTAGTTAACTTACGAACGTGTGCTTCTCTACACTGGACCCCAAACTCCCCAAGGACTCTGGTCTCACATACCGCCTTCCAAAGCTGCAGTATCCCCACACTGAACAGGTACTCAAAGGGAAGAGAAATAACGTAATTTTCAGAAAGATTGTTTTGTTATCTGCTGTCTTGAGATGGTAGTAGGTTGTGTTCGCTGCTGGTCTTATCAATTATAAATTACTGTTATGTTAATGTCATCATTATAACTAAGTTTGTTAGTATTTGGTCAACCCTGCAGTCTGCAGTAGTACACACGTACATTCATTATATTTGTCTGATTATTTTCTAATAGCCAGATTTTAAGACCCATATGATCTGTGCCACAAATAAGTAACATTCACATTTCTATTTCCAAAGAAGGTGAAGATTATATACAGGGTCCAGCACAAATAATATCTCTTTTTATTACAAAATCTTTTATTATAAAATCATGAGCATGTAATTCTGTAACGTACCACCCTAAAGCACACCTATGATATTTTAGGTGAAATGTTCGAGTTAAAACTATGAATTATTACAACCATATTATTACCCTTCCCACCACACTCAAGCAGGTGTTATTTCTACAGGACCCTGTATATTCATGCATATAAATATGGCCATACACAAAGCAAATATATATATATATTTGCAAATGAACTTCATATATCCCCTTCTGTTGATAATACTACGTCCTCAAACTGTGTGGGGTGTGAGACAAACCACCTGGGGAAATGACCTTAACAAGAAAAAGCATACAGGTAGAGAAAGGTGCCTATGACCTGGCCAGGTGGTCTTTGTATGAGTGATCGCTGCCCTGCGTGCGGCCATCTTGTTTCTAGGCCTCAAGGTCCTTCAGAGCATCAATTTCAAAATGTTCATTTATATTCATTCTGCAGTTTCCTGCTCCATCAATATCAGGTAAAATACTTTGACATGATTTGTCCAGTGGTATGGATTTGTGGCAGGTAAATGTTATTTAAATCAAATATTATAACATTAATTTATTATTTTCATTTAAACTTTTTATGGTATGGTATAAGCATAAGACATAATGTCCATCAAGATTTTCTTTGAGAAGGTTGATCTTATAAATTCAAAGTATAGCAATAGTATCTTTTAGATGTTTTAGCACTATCAAAAATCTAAGTGGTAGGGGTAGGCAGAGACAAATGTATTTGAAAAAATAAATTAAAATAAAATTTAAAAAAAATCTGATAATGGCTTATCCCCCTCACCCCCCCTTTTTTTTTTTGTAAAATAGGAGTTGCTAGGAAGTAAACCATCTCCAAAACAACATAATGCTAGATCTGGGAGATGTTTCTGTGACCTATATTAGAGATCAAGGCATCAATGGAAACGAGAGGCATTTTCATTTTCTATATTAAAACATCTTCCAATATAAGGCATTAGGGATCAATCACTAAAAATGCATATGACAAACTGAGTTGGGGAGACTGAGTGTTCCACTGTACAGTTTTAATAAACTTCAGTAAAACGTGAATATGTTGTCCACAGCACTACACACTTAGATTGAGCGGTTTTTAGCAGAATGGTGTGATGACAAATTATTTAGCAGAGTCAGACTGCCAAATAATGCTCCATCCTTGTGCAATGAAACATGCTAGTGCGCCCCAGCAGCCACCTCACAGCTGTAAAGGGGGAGAGTAACAACAGTGACCTAATAG